GTCGACATCAAGCGGCCTAGTTCAAAGACATATTTACTCGTCACAAATTCTACTTGTATAACCGCTGAAAAATTTTTAATAAAAATTTAGTACTTACCCTTTATTCCTTAAATATTCCCGGGTTAAATAACCGCACCAGTCGTACGTAATCCATTAGGAAAACGGAGATAAATACACAGGAATATGTGAATACTTCAAACACTACATATCGAAAATGGCGGCAAACAAAAATGGCGCGGGAAACTTCAATTTGAATTCCGACAACGACCGTCAGGGGCCAGGGCGTGCGTTCGGCTCTTGTGACGTCACCGCATGATCGGAGATCCACGGGTAGTGTTTGTTTTACGTTCGGACATGAGCCACCATTCATGAATTTTGTGTTGCTTTTACGTGGGTTAGCTTAATTCACGAATGTAAATTTTGCTATACGTTCTTCCGTTATTGTTTTAGGCACCTTTTTATTATTATCGGTGTTGGTAGCGCATGCTTCTGATTCTGTTGTCACTTGCTGTGTTGAAAATAAGACTAGGCTTCATTCATACCTCAGTCATTGGAAACAAGTTCATAGTGATATATTGAAATTCGTGTTGTGAACAGTGCCTGTTACTGTTAGTGTTAGTGTTATTCCATTGATGATTTTGAACGCTATGTACGTAAAATTATGCCTTGGCAAATTTTATGGTTGTCTGCTGTACGCTAGCTAGGGCACTACAGAGTCGGCTAGATTACTCTATACATACACTACAGCAGTATATCACAATCCAAACAACATGAAACTGGTGGTTATGCATAAAAATAACACAATAACACTTGTTAAAACATCTTAATTCAACATTACTTAAAATCTAGGCATCATGTAATAATACCAGATCAATAGGAATTTTAATGTACTGAGAAAAATTCTTGGGCATGTGTCGAAGAATAAAGTCATAGGAGGAAACCCTGTTTGAGACTTGCTCAATGAATACTTTTGTTTAATATAACCAACCTTTACAAGAAATTTATGATGCAATGTGTCTCTACTATGTGACAAAATTATAACATACCTCAAGGAACAAATAAAACTTACTGTATTACATAGATCTAGACATTTTATTTCTTATACATGATAACAAATTTATGGAAATCATTTATGAACGAGTCTATAAGTACACATCAATGCTATGGACCTATTGAATCCGTATGCAAACATAAAAAAGATCCATGGGGATGTTAAATTTAGTGTCAAATCTGCCAGATTATTCAATATACAACTACACTTGCTAGCCTGTCCCTCGAATGGATTACGTATAGTGCTGTCATATAATTTTTTTATTAGATTTTCTAGGCAATGATTTGCTTCAAATATCTCCAACATTGACAATGACAATACTGAATAGACAGATAAAAATTCCAATCTAACTAAACACATAATTATAGGTGCTAGCTGTGACTTTGAATGGTGGCAGCACCTACCAGTGACGACACTGAAAATTTTTATTTGCCACAAAAACGAGACGTGTGCCTTTCCTCAGCAGTTTGCTGCTGTTTTTATTCCAATTGAATGACAACACTTTATACTGCAACCTTTGCAGGAGTTTATTTTTTTAAAGTATTTCCCACTTATGTACAAACTATTCTTAACGTCTGCGATTTACGGATGGAAAATTGTTTTGAACCACGACTACATGATTGAATACGGTATTCGTTGCAGATCATGGGTCGCAATACATTTCATGTATCACAAAATAACGTTATGAAGGTCACCGCATACGCTTCACTTCCATATATGCGCTTTTATTCACTTTCATTTCTTCGGTGGTGGCCTGAAAGGAATAATACAGAGATGATCACATACACTGTTCTGGTAATTATGTTTGCTCTCCACTCTCACAGCACAGCTGAGTGGCTGATCAACATGTGACAACAATACCAAAACTCTCATAGAAACCAAGCTATGAATTACGATCAAAGGTACAGCAGAAATCTACGTTGTACGGTTTTAGCACCAGTGCTCCACTGAGACGCCCACACGAGCAACTACGACATGAAGACCATGCATCCTCACAAATAAACCAAATTAGGAGCAACCTTAGCTGAATCCTAGCTAAGTCTATACCCCAGATACCCAATGCTAGAACGGCAGACACTACTGCGGATACGAGAAAAGTTACGAGCACGGTCACTCGAGTAAGAACTGAAATGTGATTGCAGTGGTGTTTCAGGAGACACGTATTGAGATAGGGTTGCAGTAGTAAGAGAGCTCAAGCAGATTACCCTCATGTGCTTGTATCTTTAAAGGGATAGTTTACTCTAGGTTCTAGGGATATTTTCAGCTAATGTAGGTTATAATTACGCTACATAAAAAGTTTCATGGTTCAATCACCATTAGAAATATTTAAAAAAAATGTTTTAAAACTAACGACTACAGTTTGATTACAACGACGGTGGCACCACTCAAAGCGCACGATCTGATAAGTTGCGCAAAACCACTTTCCAGCCAAGGGCTACAGACCGAGGGTGTTTCTTATTTATTCATTTAAAAGTAAAAGGATTGTAATATCTTATAAACAACATATAGTTTCAGTTATAATATGGATATATTTGCCCTAAAATGAATATCGTTCGGTTAAATAGCATTTAGGTAAAATATAATTGCACTTTTGTGATTAGCCCTTGGTCTGTAACGTGCAAAATAAATTGTCAAATACGCAACTTTTTCGGGGTGGCAGCATGGTTGCGGGTGTCATGGCGCCGTTCAAATTTCGTAGCGTCGATGTGTAATTAATTATAACAATTAAATTAGGTATCTGGTAACAAATACGTGTGGGTATAGACGATTTGTTAAGTAGTTTTTTATACAGTAAATACAGTTGTATGCAGTAGAATCCTAGAGGCTACTGTCCCTTTAACATACAATGCATGCTGCACAGATGTGTTTACAAGTGTGTGCGTACATTCAGTACATGTATTTGTATTTGAATTACATGCAATAAAGATTTAATAATAATAATAATAACCTTGTTGCATCGTCAACCCACCTACCTGTATATGACGACCCACCTGTATATGACGACCCACCTGTATATGACAACCCACCTGTATATGACAACCCACCTGTATATGACGACCCACCTGTATATGACAA